AAGGTGTTCAGTGCTATATAAAGGACATGCAGCTGACAGTAGCCAATCACATGACACCCACGACTCCTCATCCTTGAATGGCAAAACATACCACTGATACATAGAACATAACCAGCAGCTATTATAGTTTTTCTCCATATAACCTTGAAAACACCAACATAAACTTCCTAATCTCATGTTCATCATATGGATGTATAAACCGACCAGGAGGAAAGGACGGCTTTCCAAAAGACCCAGGAAGGCGAGCGAGATGGGTGGCTGCTGTAAAAAGACAGAGCTGGAAGAAGCTACAACTAGCAGAATTAGCAGAAATTACTTCTTAAATGGTTTGTTTTTAATGCTCAAATTACTGTTTTAAAAATGTTTTGTTATTTTTATTCAAACAACTGCTAATATAAGCATCATCATGGTAATTTAAAGGCATTGATGTTTGAGAGAGACATAAAATCGTGAGAAAATCTCCCGGTCTGAATAGTTAACAGGCTAACCGTTTTTATAGTTATGTCCTCCATGCTCCCCTCCTTCCAGCGGCATAACGCAGCGCTCTTCCTCGCTTGGTATACAGAACATACCTACTGTCCTCTAAACTTTTATAAGCCTTCAGTGCTTTTCCAAAAAAATAAGATTGGGAATTTCTTAAACAAGTATACAAGTCATAGCAGGTGAAGTGGTGGATATCCTACAGATGGCAGTCTTGAATCGGTAAAAACAAGCTAGAATGCACATTATAGGGATCCTTCACTCCAACAACAGATTTTTTTGAAATGTGGCAGTTTTTTTTTAACTCCCCATCTAATTGTACAACATATGTAGACAATGTTAGGCTGGCAGATTCGCCACTCATTTATTATCTCTGTAGTAAATATCTGGCTGTTCATGACACGAATGCAGGTGGTTTGATGTCGTCCATCATGGCAAAAACAGAGAGCCGTCATGGGACTGCACGCCCTCTATAGGCGGATGAAGTAAAATTTTCTCCACTCATAAAAATGGCTTTTGAGTGCCAGAGAATAATCCATACTGTTCGAACAAGATAACAGACTGGTTAAAGATGCTCCTTGGTTGTGATGAGTTGTTCAATGACCAACTCATCACAACCAACGTAAGTGGACAGCCTTTAATTGGAAATTAGCATGAAAATCACCGGTTCTTAGAGAAAATTAGGGATGAGATATTAATATGGACCAGAATATTTAAGGCATCCATATGTTATTGGAAAGCTGCTTGATTAGAAAAAAATTACATTAAAAAATTGTGACTAAAATGCACTGAAATAGAAAACAGGAAAACTCTTTAAAGGAGCACTATAAAACCCACCTCTCTGGAGGGACACTGCTTATTAAAGCTAGTTTGGGTTGCTCTGAGAGTAACAACAGCAAAGGAGACTGCATGATGGCTTCTCCACTTTAAAGTCACTTCAGTGAAAAGGCTAAGCGCAGAGATACACAGACAAAAGGATCCCAGTTCTGCTGCAGCCCTCGCTTCTATGTGCATTCATAGCTCAAGGTACAGTAGCTTTATGAACACAGGGCTTACTCTGTGGCAAGCATCAGCTCCGCCACCCCCCTCCTGCTCCATCATTAATACAGGACATGACCATTTAGAAGCCTTTTTTGGAATCCTAATGGAACATGGAACAAAAGCCTTGATGCTTATTAATGAGTTTGTGCTTAATCATTGGGATTTTACATAAAACTAAATGAGCCATGTCTGCAGGATGAAGCTCCCCCCCATATGTGGAAAAACAATCGCCAGTGATTTCCCTAATATCTGTCAAATAGCAGTTATCACCCGCAGCGTTGAACAAATGAACGATCTTTAACGTGGCCACTATAAGGGGGCTGTCATCTGTCTTCTATTGTTGCTTCGAGGTGAATATCTTAACAGACATTCAGATCCTGACTCTCCTCAGCCCTACTGAGCATACATTACATGTTCAGCATGTTATTCAAACACAGATAGACCTTTACCCTGAGAAACCATGACTATATGACACAAGGATTTAAAAAAACAAAAAAAAACAAAAAAACTAGCAGGTATGCAGCCACACTACATTGTCAAACTGCAGCTTAAGCTAGGAAATCCTGAGAACTTTTTTAAACCAGACTATGTCCATGCAGCATATTATATCAAACTCCATAACTGACCACAGAGCAATCCTGTGATCCAAGGAGTGTTGTGCAGATACTTCAAATATGGCCGGCAGATGACCCTTAACAAAACTCGGCTGATTGCACAACAGCTCTGGACCTGCTTTGTGTGTGTGAGATTGCTGGGATGGGGTTTTCTGCTAAGGTTAGAACTTATGAGTAGTTCCTAAATTACATTTCTAACATTAATGCAACTATATAATTTTTTTTTTTTTTAAAAGCACTCCTGGGTGGATAGCCCTTCCACAGAACTAAACTTCCCCTCTGCCAGTCAGGACAGCCCAGGGTCAAAGCAAAGCATTTTCTAACAGCTGACATATTGTTAACATGTAAACAAAACTTTACACGCTCTTTGTTCTGATAAACAACTGATGGTTTATTCTGGATCCTAGGAGAGAGAAAAAAAAGACCATAATTGTGTTTTAGAGTGATCTGGCTGTAGTACCAAGTATCCAATAACAACTGATAAGAATAAACACTGTCTGACTGATTACTCAGCAGAACTGATAAAGTTTTCCAATTCTTCCCACATAGGAGTTAGAAAATATTGGGACAATTTAGGACTGATGCAGTTTTATTTTTATTATCTTACAAAAAAAAAAATAGCAAATTGTACATTTCAAATAGAGAATAATTATCGTTTAACCTGAAAAACGGACAAACTGCTTTGTGAAGGGCAATGACCACACCAGCGGTGTCAGGGATAAAGCTCTGGTGCTCAAAACAAGTTTTGATTATTAAGCATTATTTCGAGCTTTGAACATCCACTAATGTACCTCCAGACCACCCACAGAAACTAAGAAGTATGGCACAAATCTACCAAGTCCTGGCTGTCCGCTTACAACGACCAACTGGACAAGGGGAGCATTAGTCAGAGAGACAGGCGTCGTAACTTCGGAGGAGCCACAGAGATCTTCACCTGAGATGAAGGAATCACTCAAAACATAAACTGTCACGTGCTTCCCTGGAACAAAGGCACTTGTTCAAAAAATAAAAAAAGCCATAAGACGCCCTATCTGCAACGTACCACAAGCCACGGCAAATATGTAGAAGAAGTCACTGTGGTTAGAGAAGACCCCAAAACTTAACTGCCATGTTATGTACTACGTGAAAAATGTAATGAGTGGATGAACCTGGCACTGCAAAGCCTCCAAAGCAACAGTGAAACAAGGTGGTGACAGCATCATGCTCTGGGGATGCTTTTCTTTAGAAGGAATAGGGATGTTGATAAAAGTAAGCTGATGGAGAGATGGATGATGGTTTATAGAAGGCAGATCTAAATCTGTTTTTAAATGTGTGGCAGGACTTTAAAAAATACTACTTCATCAGAGTTACTTTATAAAGAAAAAGCAGGCAAATGCTTCATTTTAAAGACATAACAAGCTGCAAGCAATAAAAGTCTTGCAGCTGTAACAAAAGAGAAAGGTTATTCTATAAAGTATAGCTTCAATCACCAGCTTTAAATCACCAAAAATAGACTAACATGTTCAGCTATTGTGTGGTTTTCCCACAAAGTGAAATGTACCTGACAAAACTTTGTAGACCTAGGACTTCATTAAGGTTTCGATCATAAATGCAAATAAAAATAGGTGACTGTTAATACGTGAGCAGCAGCCACCAATGGCACGTCGCTGAACGTGGTTCACAGTGTCGCTCATGTTCATTCATCAAATTTTAAACGTTTCAAATCCACCTAAATGCTTCATCGTGAACTTAAGCTGATCATCTTTTCCCAAACCAATTCGATGGCAAAGAAAATCCTGAGATATATCCTGGTCCTGAAGCGCCGGGAAACTCGTGTGGAGAAATGTGTGTGCGGCTGAGAAGAAGAGGCAGAGCGGGTGTGTGTACGCGTGCGCGCGCACGTGCGTGGCATGTGTGTGTGTTCAGCTTTAAGAGGAGGAAGACTACGGTTGTCACAGAGAGAAGTAGGAAGATTAGCTATCAGATAGCAGAACCAACGGTGGTGCCACGGGCTTAAAAGCGGCCAGCCGTGTCCACCATTACGGTCCAAGCAGCCTCCACACCGTCCAACACCACAGTCAGCCCTTTAAAAACTAAACCCAGCCCACAGTACATGTGCAACTAGCCGGCTTTTTATTACTGACACCGCCTCGAAGGAGGTGTTATTAGTTAGCGAGCTAACGTTAGCTAGAACGCACAAACAAAAACACGAAGAGCCATTAGCCTCGGTTAAAAGAAAAAAAAATACGGTAACCGTCCGTGCATCATCGGCTGAGAGATACTTTCAGACAAACTAGTAAAACTCCTCTATCTCCGTTTCTGTTCGAAACCGTGACCCAAACCGTCGGAACCGAGCCCGAACCGCTGACCTGACTGCACCCCGATAGCGGGACAGCACAAACTTTCCCCATAAAGCCCTGAAAGTAGGACTGTTTGACTCGAGCTGGGACTGTTTACCTGTTTGCCTCCTCCTGAGTTAAAAAAATCTTCCACTCGGAACTCTTAAATTTCACCCACCGGGCCCACGGAGTGAGCTCGCCGCCGACGAGCCGCCCGCCGGCGGTGTAACGTTGTAATCCTCACCTCATTTAGCTACTTCTATCGAAAAGAACCAACTCCGGCTGTCACATTTACACACCGGCCAGTTTGACGAAGCGTAAAATAAAGCAAAATTTCGGCTGAGCCAGCCTCCCCCCTCCTCCTCCTCGTCCTCCCCAGCGCTCAACCTTTGGCTCTGCGGAGAAGTGTTACTTTTCAACAGCCCATCAGCTTCTTTATCGTCACAGATAGGTGGAGGAAAACCTGTCTCCTCTCGTCGAGTCCGAATAAAAGGCTCCCCTCGATCCACTCTCTTAAAAAACTTAAGCTTGCTAAAAGTCAACTTACTTTGAAGCTTTGTCGCCCGTTCTTCCCCGATGGTCGAAGAGGGAACGTTTAATCTGCAATTAACCTCGATAAATCGTTGCTTTTTTTGAAATCCTGGGGATATCCTCTTTTTTTCGGCCCTCCCCGCTGCCGCGTCTGTTGCCAAATAATGCGCCTCAACACACATGGAGCCGCTGCGTCCTCTTAGTGGGCATGCGCACCTCGGCATACCAGGGCGAGCGGAGCACATCATGTAAGCCGGTGGCCACCAAGGGCCAAAGTGGGGGCCAAGGTGTCTGCGTCTGCAGGATTGACCCTTAGCAGCAGCAGTGATTAAAAAAAAAAAAAAAAGCACATGCTCACTCTCAGACACAGGACGTCAGAGTGAAGATTTTCCTCAAATCTTTATTTTCTCACAGGACTTCAGCTCAAATGGGTCAGACATGCCACAGATAGATAAAAAATGTTAGTATATCTCTGTTGTTTTGACTCTAATGACAGAACCCACTGATTTATTTTGTTGCAGAGGTAGAAAATCTTCATATGCACTCATAAAATGACAGGGGCTTTAGAAGAAGAGGCCTATAAGCATCCTTTTCAGTCAACATATTCCACAGGTAGATGCAGGCTCTCAGCATCACACATCCTTCGCTGTACTTAATAGCTTTCTTGATGTCCTTTTCATCCTCGCTATAAGGTCCGACCAATCTGAACAGTTCTTTGTAGAAAAGATCAATCTTAAGCCTCTTTCATGAAACGGCTCCGCCATGCAGCGGCTAAGCTGCCTTACCATTCATTAATCACCAGTAAAGCAGGGTGTTTAAAAAGAGGGGCGAAGTAAAAGAAAATCCACTAAAATTTTAACTCTAACTGTCCTCTAACAAAGTGCAACCCACTGAGCTTTTAGAGAATTCAATATATAGATATTGTGAATATGACTGTCCACAGGAAGTGGCTGCACTTGATTTTAATTTTGTGGTCATATAGGGTACACACAGCCCAGAAAATGGTATAATCTAAGAGACTATGTGCATTGTATTGATACAAAAGTAAATCTGATTTGGCTGTGCACTGATCAGATATGATAAACGTGGGCCGTCCCGGCAGGCCTGCTTACACGGCCATATTAGATCTGCTCGCTCATCACATAATCGGAACTTTTACAGGAATTCGAGATACAGAGTGTCAGTTGGATCCGACCAAACAGCTGCCTTCGCTTCCTATGTGCTTCAGGGAGCCATGGATGCCCATGACCCTGTTAGGGTCACCATTGTTCCTACCTTAGAGCAGCTACCACTATATACCAAGAGCAGCCCACAGGACCTGCAGGCTTTTCTTACTTCTTACTCACAGTTAGCACATTTTTCACTTAATACATACCATTCATTAACAGGTGAAGATTGTAATGGTATAAACTTGCCAGGATTTATTCCTCCAACAACCAGGTTGAAGGTTTAGGGGTAGTCTGTCAAATTCATTGTCTCTAAATCATCTATTGGTTATTGAAGTTGCATTCCTGTGGAAACATAATAAATACTGTACATATAACTTCCTACATGAAATGTTCGTTAACCCCAGCCTTCTGTTTTTCCCTGAAGTCATGGGTTCACCATAACATCCCCATTTGTCCATCTGACTCCAGATTAAGATCTAAATTACCTCACATGAGACAATTGTCCAGTTTTTTCTTCATTCTAAAATCACTGTCTGAAAAATAAAAACAAAAACAAAAAAAAAGGGATGTAACTGCAAAGATGGGTCAATGAACTACACCAGCGTAATGAATTGATGTCTAATTTTTTGGTAGATGTCAGAGGGGTTTGCTTTAATTGGCGCTTAATTGGTACCAAATATGCAAGTCCAGAACGTTCAGAGTCCTGAATTAACAACAGTTAAGGCCCCAGTTGCCATCTTCTTTCCAATAAAAGCTCTGTCTGTTCAAAGCACCTCTCTATGCGAATTAAACTGATCACAATCATGCACGGAAAGATGCGGGTATAGTGTATGAAGCACTGCAGTATAAGTAAGAGTCTATAAAGCCTGAAGTGGGAGAGCTTATCTGCGGCGCCGCAGAGTAGGGGGGCATGAAGTGCTATGTCAGCCTCACCCCTTCGTTCTTTAAATGACAAAAAAAGGGCTCTTTGTAGATGTTGCTGTGTCATCAGGTCTGATTGTTTGTATTCTCTCATGCTAACACTCCAGTCTCCTCAGGCCAGACAGTGTGTAAGCAATCAACTTCACACTATACCATCATAAATTAGAAAATGTTCAATACTTATGAGGTAGCAAACCTTCGTTCAGTATCAGCTATGTAACCTTCTTTCTAGAGGAGTATTTTATTGATTTTGCTAATTTTTAATGAAAAACATTGAAGTAAAAATGATTTCAGCATCAGAGTTATAAAATCAGAAGCTTTTACTCTGACAATGAAGGCACCATCTGTGTGGTGCTGCTTAAAGGAAACTCATGCACTCATAACACAGGTTTACCCTTAGATACCTCTACAAACTGGATTAATAACCAGTGAACCACAAATGGTTAAACAAGGCTGTAAAATTCTTGTGTCTTTTTTTCAGGTCAGTTGATATGCTGTAGTTGTACATACTGGTTTTAGTGTCGATTTAATACGTTGGAATTTCAGGACTTATTGTGCACTAAGTCAATATTTACCATCAGACCTTTGTCCAGAGCACGAAACAAATAATATTAACACAGTATCTAATGGACGATAAGAATTTGGTCTTTGCTGGATGTTTCTTTAGCTGAGTGGCAAAATCATAAGTAACAAGGCAATTTGTAGTTCACTTTAAATGTGTAGAATAGTTATTAAGCAGATGTGTATGTTTCTTATATTTATTCAACAGGTATTTCCTATATACACTGCAAAAATGATCTACAAATAAATAAAAATTCTTAAATGTAGTGTATTTAATAATAATAATTAAACTTTATTGATCTCACACTGGAGAAATTCACCTCTGCATTTAACCCATCCCCTTGGTGAGCAGTGGGCTGCCACTGTGCGGGGCTGGGGAGCAATTGAGGGTTAGGGCTATCTATCTATCTATCTATCTATCTATCTATCTATCTATCTATCTATCTATCTATCTATCTATCTATCTATCTATCTATCTATCTATCTATCTATCTATCTATCTATCTATCTATCTATCTATCTATCTATCTATCTATCTATCTATCTATCTATCTATCTATCTATCTATCTATCTATCTATCTATCTATCTATCTATCTATCTATCTATCTATCTATCTATCTATCTATCTATCTATCTATCTATCTATCTATCTATCTATCTATCTATCTATCTATCTATCTATCTATCTATCTATCTATCTATCTATCTATCTATCTATATATCTGTCTATATATCTGTCTGTCTGTCTGTCTGTCTGTCTGTCTGTCTGTCTGTCTGTCTGTCTGTCTGTCTGTCTGTCTGTCTGTCTGTCCCATTAGAGATTTAGTCTCCTCAATGGGTAATTTTGCAAATAAAGATTTGAATTTCTAGTCAATGTTAAACCGTAGGTGCCAAATATAAGCACATGTACTGTATAGGGATATTTGTATTGTTAACAGGACACAATTAGTAAGCTGGTCCAGTGCTGGCATGAAAACCCAAATGAGATCATTCATGTAGCTCCGCTCTCCTCCGTCTCTTGCCCTCCATGCGGAGCACCATGACAGCTTCAACTTAATCCTCATTAAGCACTGTAACAGTGCAGGAAGTAGCTGCTGCAGTCACGATTACATGGGCTCACTATTTGGCAGGAAATCACTCATTTCAGCTGCTGCGTCCAAGACACCTAGTACGTCCAGAAACTTTCACGCACAGCAGCCTCTCTGCTCTGCTGAGGGGACAAAAGCATGCAGGAGCAAAAGGGGGGGTATCTTCAACTCAGTTTTGACACTTTTGACACCTCCCACTAGGCGTGTTACCTGGTAGTCATTCTTAGTTTAGACCTAAAGGAACACGTTTTTTTTTTTTTTGCTTTTTGTTTTTTTTATGCAATTACAACAATCCATCTAAATTTAATTATTTGAACTATAATGGCTTCATGTGATAGATTAGAATCAGAAATACTTAAATAAGTTATTTAGAATTTGAATATTTACATAAATGTTTACTTATTGAAATAGATTTGTTTATTTAATTAGGTACAAGAGTTGAGTGTCCAGTAATGTTGCTCCAATGACATTTTTTGGCCCCGATACCTGGCTGTGCAGTATCGACCGATACCATCTGTTTGAAATTGATGTGTGTGTGTGTATATATGAAGAACTGCATACTACTTGGATGTAAAATAATTGCCTTCATGGCTTTGTTAAGCTGCTGCCTACTTTTGTGAAGTAGGAAAAAGATTAATACAAAGTGAATCCAAGAGAACTTTTTATTTCCTACCACGAATGGGTGACAATAGCTGAATAAACTTTTGGCTCTCAAAATGGTATCGGTGCCCCATTGGTCGATACTCGCTGATACTGATACCACCCTTTTAGGCAAGGCAAGGCAAATTTATTTGTATAACACAATTCAGTACAAAGACAATGCAAAGTACTTAACATGAATAAAATATAGGAAAATAAAACAGAATCAAAGCAAGTAGGTAAAAAAATGAAATAAAGAAATGCAGAAACAAAAAAGAATATTAAAAACAGAAGACAGTTGAACTGTTTAACTAGAACGAAGACAATCCTAAACAAATGTGTTTTTAGTCTTGATTTAAAGGAACTCAGGCTTTCCGCACTTTTACAGTTTTCTGGAAGTTTGTTCCAGATAAGTGGAGCATAGGAACTAAATGCTGCTTCTCCATATTTAGTTCTGGTTCTAGGAGCCAGAAGACCTGAGTGGTCTGGAGGGTTGATACACTGATAGCAAGTCTGTGATGTATTTAGGTGCTAAGCCATTCAGGGATTTATAGACTAACAGAGGTATTCTAAAGTCTATTCTCTGAGATACAGGGAGCCAGTGTAAGGAATTTAGAACTGCGGTGATGTGCTCTACTTTCTTGGTCTTAGTGAGGACACGGGCAGCAGCGTTCTGGATCAGCTGCAGCTGTCTGATCCAATTTTTAGGCAGACCTGTGAAAACAGTCGCAGTAATCAATTCGACTTCAAATAAATGCATGGATTTAGTGCTGTATCGGGGGCCTGCCCGATATTGGTATTGGTATCGGTGCAACACTACTAACC